AAATCGAGGATTTTAAATTGTAATATACCCAGTGTAAAGTGCTTATTAGAAATTCTAAAGGTATTAATAATAAATTATTTAGGGGGTTGTATCCTTGTATGTTGATACTTAGCCATTTATATTATGGATCACAAGCCATATGGGCCCATCTTATTTATTGGGTCCTAACTCCTAAGTCACCCAACATTAATATGATTTTCAATCAGCGTTGCTAGGGAAGCGAATGCATTTCTAGAAGACAGTGTTAGCCGCCTTTGTTAAAAATAAATAAAAAAAAATTAATAGTTTTGCTCAATCCACGTCGGGGAGATGAGCAAAAGAGGGTAGTAGATTCGGCTATAAAAGGAAGCCAAAGTTTAGATTTCAAAACACACCAAAACACACCAAAAATACTTAAATGTGTTTTATATTAGGGATTTAGAGCAAGTCTATAAGATATTTGGGGTGTTTTGAGGGTGTCGGGTAGAAAATATTTTGTAATTGTGGTTGTAACAATTTGCCACACAGTGAATATTTTTCTTTGTTGTCGTTTGGCAACGGCCGTGGTTTTTCTCCACTTGAGGAGTTTTCCACGTTAAATTATTGTGTTATTTATTCTCTTTAATTTCTCAGTCATTATTGACCAAAACACACCAAAATACTTAAATGTGTTTTATTTAGGGATTTAGAGCAAAGTCTATAAGATATTTGGGGGTGAGGTGTCGGTATGAAATTATTTTGTAATTGTGGTTATTGTTAACAAATTTGCCACCACAGTGAATATTTTTCTTTTGTTGTCGTTTGGCAACGGGCCGTTAGGTTTTTCTCCACTTTGAGGAGTTTTTCCACAGTTTAAAATTATTGTGTTTAATTTATTCTTCTTTATTTCTCAGTCATTATTTTATTTTTTCATTTTATTCCTGCTTGAAGCCGATCCGAAGGGCGGGAGATAGCGGGATTTTTCCCAACAAAGTGGTATCAGAGCCTAGTTGGTTTAGCGGAGCTTTTAGTGTTAAAATAATTTCTTGTAATTGTAAGTATGCACTGGTGTTTGCGGGCTTATGTCTGATCTTCCACATCATAATATGTTGTTTAGAAACTTATTTTTATATTTAAAAAGGCAAAGTGGAGTCTTTGGAAGTCTTTGAAGCCGGTGGAAGCTTTGCTTTGGTGTGCTTGAGTACCGGTGGTGAGGTTCTTGACGATAATTAGTGAAGTTATTTTGGGTACGGAAACGTTCTAATAACAATACCGTTGCACATATTTCTGTATTAGAAGGCCGATTTAACGATTGGGACCCACTTGTGACCCTCCACCCAACTTGGATTTTTACGATGGAATGGTAATACTGGTCTAGGAGATTATTGTGGTCTTTTTCTGGAGTATTGCTGAATCGGTTTACTTCATTTAATATATGGGTTCACTGTGATAAAGCATAAAGTAAGCATGTCGGCTATTGAGAGGTGGATTGAGAAATTGAGACAGGAGAATGAATTTTGGCATTTGGCAGTTGCAGTTCAAAGAACTGTTTGATATCAGTCTGGACTGCATAAGGTTTTCAGGGTAAACCAGTCAGCGGAAAAAGAAATTCAGGAAAAGACAGTGGCAGTAGAGACTCAGGAAAATCCAGATTAGGATGAAAGAATGGGAGGAGCTGGATTATCAAAAGCGGGCAAGTCTCAAATCGCATGCGTTTTATAGCCAAAAATGTTCTTGCTAATGTGCTTGGATTGATCCACGACAAAAGAGTTTGTTGGGAGAAACTGAAGATTGTACAGGAGGAAAAAATATATCCAATAGGTTATATTTGGACAGGGACAGCAATTTCATACAATTGAAAATGGCGGAAGGTACAAAGCTGTTCACGATCACCTCGAAGTGTTCTTTAGCAGGCATCGTCTCTGAATTGGAAACTCTTGGAGTGCAAAACCGAAGATTGAAGAATAAAGCTCTCCGACTCCTCCTGTCCACTTCCTTCGACATATGAGCACATGTTGAAAAACCTGTTTCCTGAAAATATGGTAGTAAAGAAAGTGGTGTATGGCGGATGTGGTTAGTAAGCTCATTACTTTGAGGGAAAGAAGACTGAATTTGAATGAACAAATAAATCATATGACGGATTCAGCTTTATCTGTCCGGGGTTAACAGGAAAAAAGAATAAAAGCTCCGGAAAGAGGAGGTTGTCTGGCTGGGTGTTGTGGTTCAACTGGGACACGGTAGGCAAGGATTGCCCGAACGGTGGGCTGATTCGGCTGGGAAGCTCTAACGTTGTTGCTTGCCAATTGTGATCTCCCCCTTTTGGTGGCGAGGAGATTTGAGTGATCTCTTTGTAATTGAGAGATGTGTGTCCTCATTGACATGGATTGCTACCGTTTGAATTGCCATGAAAGAGCACGGGATTATTGGTAGCTTGTCCACGGTAAATGCGCACGAGCATTGAGATATAGAACAGGTGATGCAAAGTGTGTGGTGGAAAATATGTCGATGGCTTAAATGAAAAACTCTCGGAAAAGTCAACAGGAGGGTTGCACACCATAACTATTAGCGGGATCGACAATGGCCGGATGGAAAATTGTCTTTGGAGGTCGGTAAAGTTCCAAGTTAGGCGATTACTCTTTTATGGTGAACGTATGATATTCTTGCGAAGTGAAGAATTACGATTGCTAGTCAAGATAAAAAATAAAAAAATACCCCCCAACCACGGGGAGTAGCAAAAGGGAGGGTGGGTAGGTTTGGCTATAAACAGGAAGCCAAAGGTATATTTCAACACACCAAAAATACTTGAATTATATTAGGGATTTTTTTTGAGGGTGTCGGGTAGAAAAATATTTTGTAATTGTGGTTGTAACAATTTGCCACATAGCGAATATTTTTCTTGGTTGTCGTTTGGCAATGGCCGTAGTTTTTCTCCACTTGGGAAGTTTTCCATGTTAAATTATTGTGTTATTTATTTTTTTTAATTTCTCAGTCATTATTTTATTTTCTCATTTGTTCCTGCTTGAAGCCGATCCGAAGGGCGGGAGAATAGCGATTTTCCTAACAGACAGGTATGACAGTTCAACATAAAATCGAGAGTAGTTATACTAGATGATTATTTATTTATTTATGTGTGAAGTACGCTCTCTATATTCTTTGTAGACAAACTTTCTAATTTAGTTATTTTTTTATAGAGAATATTACTTTAAATAAAATTTGGGAAGAATGTCAAATAAAAAAATTCAAAATGTTCTCATATGAGCTTTATCATTTGTGTGAAAGTTGCTCATTGAATGAAAAAAGTGAAAGACAAAAGGGAATGTTAAGGCATTTGAATTTTCAAAATATTACTAAATGACTATTTTCTATGTATTTTTAACGGTATACTCAATTTTATGAATGTGAGCACAAATGTAAGTGACAGTTCGATTAATTACCTATAATATGAATGCATAATTGGAAGGTTGCATATCAATTTAAAAATGTCATTTTATATTGATATCACACCTTATAAATATGTACATGATTTCGTTAATTCCGATTAACTTAATATAATTTTGTAATTTAATTAAGTACCGATGAAAATTTTATGCTCGTGTTCTTCAAATGAAACATGGGTGATATAAACTTAAATTGACTTCACATATATGCTAACTATAGCCACAACTTTTTCATTATTACTCTTATTTAGGTTATCTTGTTGCAACTTAGAAAAAAAGTATGGTACTCATAGAATTTTTTATATCATCGGGTAATCTTGTTTTCGTGTTGCATGCAACAATATTTTAAAATTGACTTATTTTAAGAATAACAACATTTTGTTTTTAACACGGTAAAAAGTTAAAATTTGGAAGTTAGAGAATCAGAACTACTTTTCTGCAGTAGAAATTAGATCCTGATCTTCATAGTAGCCTTAAGAAAGTTTTTTGGTGGATCCAAAATTAAAGGAGTTTATTTGAATCCTTTGCCCTCATTTCTGTCAATTTGGTTACTTCACAATTACAACTTCAATTGGTTAATTTTACTCGAAGGGTCTGAACTATAGAGATAATCACTTAATGGGATACCAACTTCAATTTATCACTTAAAAAATACTCGACCTTATATTTTTGTTTTAATAGTAAAATACCTTTTTGAGTGAAATTAACCCAGCAGATTAAGGACCCGTTTGGTTCAGCGGTTCATAATTCATACCATTGGTAGTTATTGCAACTACAACTTCAATCATAGCATACTAAGGACCCGCTTAGTTCAGTGGCTCATACGTAGCTAATTAAAACTGGTGTTTAGCAAAATTTTGATAATGATTCCTGTTAAAATATAAAATGTCCGTTAAAACATAATTGTTTTTTATTTTGATTCATAAAGATAGAACTGTTTTATATTTTATTATGTATAAAGTATATTTTTTAATAATTAAGGTAAATAGGTTATTTTTCATTTTAATGTATTATATAAATAAAAATATATTACCTTTTAAAATAATATTTAACAAAAAATATTATGTTTAACTGTCAATCAGGTGGTGGTCTAGTTGATTTTTTCAGTTAAAGTCTTTTTGACTAATCATAGTTGTTTTTACCAATTTAGTGAATTAAGAAAAGGACTACTGTAGCCTGCAATGTTATTTCGCCTTTTAAAAATCTCCAATAAATTAAAAAAAAAAGTTATTCTTAACTAACTATAAATAAAATAATTAAAAAATATTAATTTGAAAAAGAAAATAATTTTATCAATAGTCATTTTTCTGAGGTTAATGGAGTTCAAATAAAATAATAGTTAAATTTGCTCCCTGCATCTGATATGAAAAAAGTTCTCAAAACTAGTTGACGATGAAATCAACAACTAATTAGGAATTCTACCAACTATGAACCTACAGATTAAAAGCTTACCAAACACATCCCCTCTAAACCATACACGAGTTTCCACTTCCAGGTATGAGACATTTTATATTGGATCAACAAATAAGTCTCCAAGCTCTCTTTTCTGCAACATGCGTTTCTCCATATTGATTGAACAAATAATCTTCCAAACTCAACAAAAACTAACAATAAATCTCCACCAGAGTCAAACGACATCACATTAATTTTCAGCCATATAGATTATTCATAGATTTATCCAGGCTCGGAAGAAGGCTATGTTTACATCCCTACAGAAACAGTACACAAGTCCGCAAAAGCAGTGCTATTTTTGGCAGGCTTAGCAGGCTTAGTATTTACAGAAATGTAATTTTTCAAGAAAGTATTCACAAAAATAATTAGTGCAGAAAGGTGAACTATACAACAATTGGCATAATCAACAAGACACCACAGATTTAAACGTCTAAAACGGTCATTATCTCAGAATTCCGTCTTTGCTCATTTGACTCATGATTCGAGATGCATCATTTAATCTATTTGCTCTTTCATATATGCTAGCAACAACAAGATGCAACTCCTTTTTGTTAATGTTAGGATCAGAATCCAGCTTCTCAAGTAGAGATTCTACCTTCACAAAATCTTTTCTTGCACCATAAAGACTCAGCATCTGAAAGTGAACATCATCTGGAAAAACACAACCTTCTTCCTGCATTTCTCTATATACTGCATCTGCCTCCTTAAATTCTCTCAATTTCCCATAAGCATTCAAAACAAGAGCAATCACATTAGAATCTGGGAAATATCCTGCTCTTCTCATCTTCTCAAACACCTCTATGACATTCGCAGGTTTTTTGTTTCTTGAGAAAAGATCAATCATGCATCCAAAAACAGATATATCCTTCACCTCTCCAGCATCAAAAGCCTGGCGAAAAACCCATGTGGCCTCTTCTATCCTGCCAGCTCTGGCAAGAATTTTGATGGCAGTCTCCCTAGGAATATTATCCGGGCATTTGAGTTCATGAAGCAAACGTTTGGCATGAGCAACCAAGCCTACCCTCTCATAAGCCACAATCATTGTCTGATATAGTACTTGATCAATCTCAACCCCTGAACTCCTCAGCTTTTGAAACAACATTGCTGCCCTATCCAATTTCCCTGCTTTACCCCAAATAGAAATGATTGTCGCGTATGTGATGGCATTTGGTTCAATCCCTCTTTTTTGCATCTCCTGAATAAGATTTGTTGCCTTTTCATGCTCGAGTGACTTCCCATAAATCTTGATCATAGTATTATAAGTGACAACATTCTGCTCAATATCCTTCCTCTGCATCAACCTAAATAAATGTATAGCTTCACCAAAAAGTTCAGCCTCGCCATAAACCTTCAAAAGGGTATTATAACTAACAACATTCGGCTCAATCCCCATTTTCCTCATACTCCAAAACAATCTATCAGCTTCCTTAGCCATATCCAGCTGTCCATAAACATCAATCATAATATTGCACGTAGTAAGATCAAGCGGGCACTTGACATCGTTCATCTCTGAAAAAACAGATAAGGCCTCGAAAAACTTCTCGTTTTCAACATAAATACTCAAAAGAGTTGAATAACTCACTGTATCAGGAATGACCCCTACTTCTCTCATCTCCTTTAGCAACATCCTCGCCTCCCTAAACAATCTAGCTTTCCCAAAAACATTAATCATTGAATTATAAGCAACTAAATCTGGTGTAATCCCACTTCTCTTTAGCTTCATAAATATGGAAATAGCCTTAGAAAAATCACACAACTTGCGCGAAAGCTCAATTAAGTTACTATACAAAACAAGATCACCAGAAACACCGTCTTGCTCCATTTGTTGGAGCCAAAAAAGCGAAGAATCAAACATACCCGCTTTTCCGAAATAAGTAATAAGCGTAGAATAAGTATACCTATCAGGTGCAAGAGCTCTTTGACGCATTTCGTCGAACAGGCCATGTGCAACTTCCCATTGTTTATCTCTAAGCACATTCCTCAAAACGACATTGTAAGCGAACACAGAAGGAGAATAACGCGCAATGTCGTTAATCCAATCAAGGACAGCGAGGGATCTTTGCCAATCTGATTCACGCGAAAGAAGCGAGACCATGAAACGAATAGAGAGTTGCCTGTCTTTGAAGGGCGAAAGCAAACAGTATAGTTCTTGCTCGTTTTGGGTTTGGCTGATGGAGGTCAATAGCTCGTCCATGTCTATACTGTGGTCTAAATACACCGGTTGTCTTTTTTGTCTTCTTGGACGGTACCGTGTCGTTCCATTGTTGGTTGTGTTACTTGTCCAGACATCTCTTTTGGTTGCAGAGAGGAGGAGAAAGTGGGTTCTGGGTTTTGCCTTGGTGTAAATATGGGACTTGGTTAAGGGTAATAATGGAAGAGAAAAGATGGAAGATAAAGCGGGATCTAAAACTTGCCTGGGAGAAGCAGATAGAGAAAGCGAAGACATGGACGAGGTTTCCTTTGGACCAGTGGAAGTTGGTCGCTTTTGCTTAAGCTAGAACAAAGACGACCCAGTTTAGCTCTTGCCACGTCAGCATTAGGCTAAAAAATGGCATTGTCATTTTCTTACATGTCATATTTCGACAGTTAGAAATTCGTAAGATGACAGTTCATCAGGTTAATTAAAAAGAAGTGTTGAGGTTTCATACTATCACGATGCAACAATTTAAAAAATTAAGGGAAATTAATTAGATAGTCCTGAAGAACGACGAAATTGTCTAAATAGCCTATTCACATGAACAAATACTCAGGATGTCGCCGACGTTAGCTTCCTTTGTTCTGAGTAGTTCCTGCAATTTCCTTCTTTTTTTCCCGTTAAGTCAAAATGAAATGACTAAAATACCCTGGAATATAATAGCCACAGATCTTGTCTTTTCCACCACCTTCACTGCAAAACACGCCATTTTTTTGACGCCCTAGTTCTGCAAATTGGCTTTATAAAAATGAAGGATACAGAAAAAAAGCAAATCCTTGAAATGCTTTTGGGTTCAACATTTTAAATTATCCAACTCCAAGACAAGCAACTTTGATAACTGCAGTCAGTAACTACCCTAAAAACATCCACCTAACACTTTCTATTTACATCCAACAATCACCAGAACTTATACAAAAAACCATCAATGTTTAAAGCTCTTAAACTTAATTTCCAATATGAATTCTGCACAGAAATAGGTTAATTCATCAGCTAATAATCCCAAACAAACTTAAAACGAAACTGAAAACATTCACAATAAATTGAATAAAAAGAAATATTAAAAAGCATATATTTTCACCAATTCAATTTGGAAAAAGTAATTAAATAAGCAAGTCAAAAAAATGTAGCAACTTGTTCGAGGCCATAATGAAAACGAAATTGAAAGATTTGATAGGCACGGAGAATTGCTATGGTATCGCCAACCTTCAATGCAAATTTCGCCCATTATTGACACTCTTGGCACCTCAGGCTCCTCCTTGACGCTCAACCCCATTACTACTGCAACAATCCCCACAAACGCCAAATTCCAGAACACATTGAACACAATAATCGGCTTGGACTAGGACCAGTCGGTCTGACGCTCCTCAAGCTGTTCCGCTGCATTTTCCCAAACTCGGACAGAGGGATCTCGAAGCATCATGCGCCGGCTGCTGGCTCGGCGGCGTGCGTGAGCGGTGGAGAGGAGGAGAGAGCGGTGACCTATGGCGGTGGCCGTGGAAAGGAGTCGAGGAGGGCCTGGGTTTGGACTAAAGAGAGGTGGACAATGAACTGTCTTTTGCAGGTAAGGGCAATTTTTGTCATTTTGAAAAATTTATCTCAGCTTTTCTTTTTTTTTTTTTTTTTTTTTTTAAATTTTTAAAAATTAAAGTATTTTTTAATTTAATAATTTAGAATTTTTATGAATATTAAAAGGTTAAAATAAAATTTAATTCAAAACACTAGAGACTAAAATTATAACAAATAATTATTTAAACCGAATCAAATCAAAAGCATTTTATTTGGGAGTTCATATCTTTAATGGACGGGTCACTAAGTCTGCGTTTGCTCCAATGCCTTCTCGTATTGATTCTCATCTTGCGAGTTGGAAGGTAAATTATTTGTCTTTAGCTGGCCGGATTAGGCTTGCTAAATCGGTTCTTACTGCGCTGCGTAACCATGTGATCAGTCTGTTTATATCCCTCGTGCGATATGTGATGAATTTCATAAACGAGCGAGAAGCTTTGTTTGGGGTGATTTCCAAGGGAAAAAGACAGTTCACTTAGTAAACTAGAACCAGTTAACACTTCCAGTTGACAAGGGTGGGCTGGGAATTCGCACATGCAAGGAGATGAACTAGTGCTTTCCTTGCTAAGCTTGGCTGGAAGCTCATTCGTGAGGATGCAGGGCTTTGGGCTTCGGTCTTGATAGGTAAATATGTGAAAGGAAGAACAGGTATGGCTATGTTCTTTACCAAAGCTCATGCTTCTATTATTTGGTGGGGTATAGTTAACAGTGCTGCTGTCTTAGCCAAGGCTTGTACAAAGCTGTCTGTTATGGTTTATTAACATATTTTTGGGAAGATACTTGGTTGATGCCTCAGCCATTGAGGGATTTTGCATTAATGGAGATTCCTTCAGTTTTTTTAAAATCAGGCAGGTCGCCTTCTTTTGGGATGGGCAAGGCTGGAAATGGAGCTTGCTCCAGTTGTATTTAACTGTGGCTATGTGTCGTAGATTGGAGTCAATATCCTTGGTGTCGGATATGGAGGCTATGGACTGTTATGCATGGCGTGGTACTAATACTGGGGAATTTTCGGTTAGATCTGCATATTGATTAGCAAAGAATGTTGTTAAAGGGAATTCTAGTCCGTCATGGGTGAAAATCTGGCAGGCTAAAGTCCCTCAGCGCATCCGCATGTTCACCTGGCTTGTCCAACATGATCGGATAATCACTAATCAAGAGCGGTCTCGGCGAGGATTTACTACTGCTGCTGCTTGTGGCTTGTGTGGTATGGCTGTTGAATCTTGTGCCCATGTTTTGCGTGATTGTGCTTATGCAACGGAAATCTGGGACAATGGTTGGGACCGATCTTCAATGATGCAGTTTATGCAATATGGGGTTTCTGACTGGGTCCAAAACTGTACTATTTTGGTGAATGAGTGCTTTCAGGATAGCAGTCCTCTTCAGGTTTTAATGATCACTATATGGTGTATCTGGAAATGGAGGAATGAATTCATTTTTCAAGGTGTTAAAGCTGTCTCTTCCAGCGCGCTTAAGCATGCTGCGGGGTCAGATCAGTTCCAATATCTCAGCCTGGGCAGGTTGTGTGAAACACTCCCCTTTGAGGTATAAGTCTCTAATTTCAATTGTGTGGAATTTTCCTACACTACAAAAAAAAACAGCATTTTGCGACCGACCAATCGGTCGCAAAACGCAAGAAATCGGTCGCTAAATTTAATTAGCGACCGATCTGCGACCGATAAACATCGGTCGCAACAATGCTCGTCGCAAAAAATTTTGCGACCAATTTTTTCATCGGTTGCAAAATTTGGTTGTGTTTGCCGTTGGAAACGCTATCGCAAATTGATCGCAGAATAAGTCTATCGCAATTATGAAATTCGGTCGCAAATCGGTTGCAAAATTTAAAAAAAAATAAAAAAATAAAAATTATTATAAAACCATAATTTTAAATTGCATCTATGTATATATATCACAAACACAACTCAAAAACAATATAAAAATGTAATTGTTATTATACTGAACAATGTCAAAAAACAACTGGAAAACTAAAAAGGTCCAAAATCAAATCTACGCGGTTGCTCATCTGCACAATCCAATGCGGAATCGCTAGGAGGAGTACCTGCTGGATATTAGGAGACGGTAGTGGCTGCTGCTGAGATGTCGAAACATTTCTATCTGTAGCAGGCGCAGGATCAGAGGAAGAAGTACCAGCATCGGGCTGACTGGACAGCCGAATGACATGCGCTCTGAGTTTTGCAATCTTTTTTTGCTGATCATCAACACGAGCCCGTAATGCAGTAAACTCCTCGGCACTATTCTCGGGCTGTGGTCCTGCGCTGGCTGCAGAAGCGTGAGATGTTGAGCTGCAGTAAAACTGTGATGCCTGAGACCCGATGCCATATACCTTCCTCTTCTTCTCGCCCCCTATAGCCTCGAGATATAGTGCTACCTCATCAATTCTTAACTCAGCTTCAAATTCATCAGCCTGAGAAGAAACAAGACGCTCCCGAGCTGTAATATAGTTCTCCTGAAAATAAAAAATTAATTAATCAATGCGCTGTATATTGAACTTATTTTACATCTTCGGCGATGAGGGTAAATTGTAAATATTTATTCTTGTTACTTACATTGACTTACGGATGTCTGTCGCAACGTATTAGTATCGTGGTTCTTGTGTGGTTTATTGTAACCTCTCGGGTGTTGGCTCTGACCTAATTTCTTTAGCTTGTAATTTTTTTATGATGATATATTAATATATTAGTGTCTCTTTCATTACATCCGTTTCATATTTGTGATAGTTAACTTTACTATAATCGAGTGGGTCTCTTAGCAAATATTTGAATTTCGCCTGTGTGTCGGAAGGTTTGCTCTTCACGTAGTGGCGCGTTTTGTGCAATATCTCTGCTTTCTTCTTGAATGCAGGATCTCCAGCTTTTCCAGCTGAAATAAGTGTTTTATAGTATTTTATTGTGATTTGATTAATTCTGATTACTTTTTATTTTATTTAATTAGTTTTTATGTAATTGTATGTTTTTATTTAAGTCCTTGGAACACATCATTGATTTTGAGAAAAATTGTGGGTTTGGCAGAAGGACAAAAATAAGGTTAATAATTCATTTAGCACGCCTATGTACGTGCCGTGGCCTGCTTAGTGCCCGTGCTACGTTGCCGTGTATCGACGCCATGCTGTTTATTGCATCAGACTTTAGGGGTGCATGCCCCGCCGTGTACAGTGCACGCCGTTGAAGAGATTCCTAAACTTAGTAAAAGTGCAACCAACTCTTCACATTTATGGAGCTAATCTTGGACAACTTTCTTACTACAAATCAAGCTTCATTTTATGCACATGGAGACTTTGATTGAGGAAATTCAAGGTTGATTGAGATTTATTCCATAAACAAGGTGGATTTATTCCCTAACAATGTTAGGTTCTATCCCAAAAGTCATATTAAGAGAGGAGGATGCTTGTAAAAGGGATTGGCTCTCTACATCTGCTTCTCTCATCTTCATTTTATAGTTTTTGTAATAGTTTTTTTTTTGAGTAGTATTCAAAGTTGTGCAAGTTTAAGGAGCCATAAGATTTATTACTGTTTTTATTTCATAACTCTTTTCTTGCTTTATTTCTTTCTTATTTTATTGATTTATGGATTTATCAGTATTGTTGGTTTTTTGTATATGTGTTAATTAACTCTCTTTCTAGAGGTTTGATGTGCTTAAATCTTTTCCTTTATTGCCCCATTGAATTTATTTTTCCTTTATTCAAGTTTTGGTTTATTTGAATTATGCTTCTGCGAATTTCCCTAGCATTGATTTATTTCCTTATCCTATCGGAAGAGGTCTTTGATTGAAAAAGGTTAATAACCATTGAGATATACTTGCTGCGGAGCTATACGGTTTGGCTCATGGGGGGTTTTCATAATGTTATGACCTTGGGTTTGATTTACAAAACAACATAAAATTATGATTTTTTCCTGTCTGATGCGTTTTGGCAGTGGTAATTAGACGGGTTTAAATGCTAACCTACACGGGAGAGCTTGTTTAGTGTTTTTTGGTTGTTTCCCTACTTGATAATTAAATTGATCATGACTATGAATATTGGATAGAGTTAGTTTGAATCCAACCTAGTGTTTTACTTCCTTGTTTCTTTAATCATATTGCTTGCTTAACTTCTTTTTTTATTGTTGATTTATTTCTAATAAATTTCCTCTTCGTTTTAATTATAATGGATAATTATATCTTTGGTATTTGGTTATACAATTACTGTGGATACGGATCTCTACTCACTATATATTACTACAGCGATTTTTGTACACTTGTAATAAGCTTGTCACCAGCTCTCCATATTCTCCTGGGCACGCACTGCTGTTCGTACGCTTCTTATCTCTATAGTGAAGTCAGGCATATCGATCCAACGCTAAACTTCTCCAGGGCCTTTCAGCGCGTAATTGGCTCGTTTCCATATTGAAATGTTTTGCCAAATGCAAAATTAGCGTTTCATCTAAGGAAGGTATCTTATGAATTTGTAACGTTGAATGATGATTGACTACCAAGCATACCTGAACTCTACCATAGTTCTCGTCTTGTGTGGTACGGATCCCATGTTGTATCCATTCTTTTATAGCTGGTAGCTTTGGATTTCCGCAAATTTTGCCTCGATGCTCGAGGAAATGGTATATGCTTGAGAAAAAAAACAGTGATTGATTAATTGGACGAGCATCACAATCTGAACAAAAATGCCTTTGGCAAGTTGATAGTCTTTACTGTCCGTCCAACTGGGGCTGATCGTGGTTTGATGAGCTGCAAAAGAATCACATGCTATATGCAGATTTAAATAATTAATATATATTGAAATGCGTTGAATTTTTTGATTACCTCTGCCTGGTGGACTGTTTGCATGGTTGGAGATTTACTGGTCCAGGAAACGGAGGTGAAGGGAAGGAAGTGAAGGAAGTGATGGCGTGCGTCTGGCTCGTGAGAAGGATTGAGCCGCCAGAGTACCTGAAGAGAGGGGGAGGTAGGACTCTCCTGTCACTGGCATGCATTCCTGGGCCCGCCCATGGAACCACTGAGATGGTTTGAAATCAAACGGGTCTGGCTTAGCATTGTCTGTAGATATC